GGAGTTTTATGGTTTCAAGTCTTACATTTAAGCCTTTGATCCATTTTGAGTTAATTTTTGTGAGTGGTGGAAGACTGGGGTCCAGTTTCATTGTTTGGCATGTGGATATCCAGTTTTCCCAGCACCATTTATTGAAGAGACTGTCCTTTCTCAAACATTGTATGTTCTTATCACCTTGTCAAAAATCAGTTGACTGTATGTCAACTGTATGATATACAGTATATGTGGATTTATGTCTAGGCTCTCTATTCATTTTTACTGGTCTCTGCACCTAGTTTTATGCCAGTATGTTTTATTATAGCTTTGTGACGTAGCTTGAAATCAGGAAGTGTGATGCCTTAGCTTTGTTCTTCTTTCTTAAGATTGCTTTGACTATTTGACTTTTGTGGTTCCATACAAATCTTAGGGTAGTTTTGTAAATTTCTGTGAAAAATGCCATGGGAATTTTGATAGGGATTGCATTGAATCTATAGATCACATTAGATAGTTTGCACATTTTCACAGTATTAATTCTTCTGGTCCGAGAACACGAGAGAGCTTTCCATTTATTTGTGTCTTCTTCAGTTTCTTTCATCAGGGTTTTGTTTGTTTGTTTGTTTTGTGTTATAGTTTTTAGTGTACAGGTCTTTCACCTCCTTGGTTAAATTTATTCCTAAGTATTTTATCGTTTTTTGATGCTATTGTAAATGGGATTGCTTTCTTAATTTCTCTTTCAGATAGTTCATTGTTAGTATATAGAAACACAAATGATTTTCATATGTTGATTTTGTATCCTGCAACTTTACTGAATTCATTTATTAGTTCTCATAGCTTTTGGGTGGAGTCTTTAGGGTTTTCTATACATAAGATCATATCATCTGCGAACAGATAATTTTACTTCTTCCTTTCCAATATGGATGCCTTTTATTTCTTTTGTTTGCCTGATTGTTACGACTAGGACCTCCTCTTCTTCTTATAAGGACACCATTCATTGGATTTAGGGCCCATTGTAACCCATAGGACCTCATCTAAACTTAACTAATCACGTCTGCAAAGACCCTATTTCCAAGTAAGGTCACATTTCCAGGTACCAGGGATTAGGACTTCAGTGTTTCTCTTCAGGGACACAATTCAACCCATAACAAAGGGAATCCAGATAACCTAAAAAAGAGTATCAAGCTGTCTGACTCTTATGGGGCTTAATTTCTTTAATAGTCTACGTATAGCTAAGATTGGCCCATATTGAGGTTCACTTGTTTTGACTGTTGTGTCATATATCCACTAGGTCTGTGTACCATGGCTGACCCATCTGCTGTCCTGTGGGTGGCCTTCTGGGTAGTGTCCAGGTGTCTGCTAATTTACAGTGCTGTTTGGGCATTCTCATAAGTGGCTCTTGGTGCGCGTGCAAGAGTTTCTCTGGGATGTTTACCCAGAAATGGAATCACTGGGACTCAGAATACGTGAATGTTTCACTTCAGGAGATGATAACAAGGTACTTTATGTAGCAGTTGCACTAATTACGCTCCCACCAGCAGCATGTATGATCCACATCCTCTCCGACACTTGGTATTATTAGATTTTAAAATGTTTTCCAGTTGAGTGTGAAATTGTTGCCAGCTGAGATCTTGATTTGCATGTTTTTTTTTTTTTTTTTTTTTTTTTGCGGTACGCGGGCCTTTCACTGTTGTGGCCTCTCCCGCTGCGGAGCACAGGCTCCGGACGCGCAGGCTCAGCAGCCATGGCTCACGGGCCCAGCCGCTTCGCCGGCATGTGGGATCTTCCCGAACTGGGGCACGAACCCGTGTTCCCTGCATCGGGAGGTGGACTCTCAACCACTGCGCCACCAGGGAAGCCCGATTTGCATTTCTTGATCACTAATGATGCTGAACATCTTTGTCAACACAGGTCTAAAATATATTCACCTATATTTCCTACTAAGGGTTCTGAAGCTTTGGTTTTGACATTTTAAGTCCATAATCTATCACCTTTCCATCATTAAGTTCCAAAGGATATTTACCTCTAATTCCTACTAAAAATTTTAAAGTGGTTTTTATTTGTTTGTTTGTTTTTGGCATTTAAGCCCTTAATCTGGAGTTGATTTTTGTCTAAGGAGGGATGGGTCGTATAATCTTAGGAGCTTTTGTAAGGTGACAAGTGTATTTTGGGGACAGTGGGGCAGGATGTTTGACTGGGACTCTTGAGTGTACTGGGAATTGTTCACTGGATGTTGAGTTCAAATTCTGCTCCTCCCATGGACTGCCTTTGCGATCTTATACTTCATCTCCGTGACCTCGGTTTTCTCATCTGTAAAATGAGAATTATAGCAGATACTGCCCTTGGTTGCCATAAGGATTGCATAAGACAAATTACACAGGAAGCTTCCCACATTGCCGGGTACACAGCATAAGAACACTAACTAGCATTTATTGAGTACTTACCATGTGCCAGGTGATGCCAAGCACTTTACATGTGTTATTTACTCACTTAACCCCTGACAACTCCATGAAGTTGATGGTATTTTCCACACTTTACAGATGAGGAAACTGAGTCTCAGATAGGATGAGTGAGTCCCCCAAGAGCACAATGCTAGCATATGGCAGAGGACTTGAACCCTGGCAGTCTGGCTACAGAGCCCTCATCTGTCACCACCACACATCAAAGCCATTCCCTCCCTCCCTCCCTCACCCTCCAGAATCTAGTCTCTGGGCCCTGCTTCTACAGGAGGAAGGGTCTAGAGGTTGAAATGAGGAAGTAATAGGCAGTGGGGTTGACCCCTGATTCCCCGGTGGCCCCTACCTTTGACTCTGAGGCTGGAGAGAGGCTGGGGATGGAGGGGAGAGGCGGGGCCTCCTGGTGGGGAAGTCCATCTATCTTCCCCATCCCCAGAGGTAGTTGTCCATCACAGTGGAGATGAATCACAGGCCACAGTGTTCTCCCCGGTGTCATCCATTATTCACAGCTGCCATCCCGGGCCTGGGGCTGCTTTGGGGTCAGGCAGGAATTATTCCCAAGGCCCAGCTCTTAGGCGCTTTTATCCACAGCTGAGCCTGACCACAAGCAACTTTCTTCTCTAGATCTGAGGGCAGAGGACTTTCCATCAAGAGGGAACGGAGACTCCAGCATGAGTTACAGGCCTGTGACCCACTGACAGACAAAGCACTTGGGGCTGTGTTTGAGCCCAGCTCTGCCACTTTCCTGTTACCTTCTTGGGGCCTCAATTTCCTTATCTGTAAAATGGGAATAACTGGCCCCACTTTGCTAGAAGATTTAGAAATAATCTACAGCTAGATGCATGAGTGGCCCATAGCTGGGCTTGAGCATCAGAGTTGCTATTGTGACATTTGCTTTTTCAGTGATTGTCTCCCAGGCCCTGCTGGGGATGTGGAGATGGTGTGACCCTTTAAAGTTCACCAAGTAATTTTTTTTCAATTTTATTGGTGTGTACTTGATTTACAATGTTGTGTTAATTTCTGCTCTATAGCAAAGTGATTCAATTATGTATATGTTCTTTTTCATATTCTTTTCCGTTATGGTTTATCACAGGATATTGAATATAGTTCCTTGTGCTATACAGTAGGACCTTGTTGTTTATCCATCCTATATATAATAGTTTGCATCTGGTAATCCCCAGCTCCCAATCCTTCCCTCCCCCACCCCCTTCTGCCTTGGCAATCACAAGTCTGTTCTCTATGTCTGTGAGTCTGTTTCTGTTTTGTAGATAGGTTCATTTGTGTTGCATTTTATTTATTTATTTATTAATATATTTATTTTTGGGTGTGTTGTTGGGTCTTCGTTTCTGTGCGAGGGCTTTCTCTAGTTGTGGTGAGCGGGGGCCACTCTTCATCGCAGTGCACGGGCCTTCTCACCGTCGTGGCCTCTCTTGTTGTGAAGCACAGGCTCCAGACGCACAGGCTCAGTAGTTGTGGCTCACGGGCCTAGTTGCTCCGCAGCATGTGGGATCTTCCCAGACCAGGGCTCGAACCCGTGTCCCCTGCATTGGCAGGCAGATTCTCAACCACTGCGCCACCAGGGAAGCCCTGTGTTGCATTTTAGATTCCACATTTAAGTGATATCGTATGGTATCTGTCTTTCTCTTTCTGACTTCCTTTGCTTAGTGTGATAATCTCTAGGTCCATCCATGTTGCTGTAAATGGCATTATTTCTTTTTTCTGGCTGAGTAGTATTCCATTATATGTAGGTGTGTATGTGTGTATATATATACCACATCTTCTTTATGCATTCATCTGTCAATGGCTATTTAGGTTGTTTCACAATAGCCAAAAGGCTATTGTGACTAGTGCTGCTGTGAATGTAGGGGTGCATGTATCTTTTTGAATTACAGTTTTGTTTGGATAGATGCACAGGAGTGGGATTGCTGGATCATATGGCAACTGTATTTTTAGTTTTTCACCAAGTAATTCTCATTTGCATCCAGGATTGAAACCATTGTCTTCACCTTGGACTTCTTAAGAGTGGCCCCTCAACAGATAAAATGCAATGAAGAAATAAAAAATTAGAGAGGGGGGTACCTATAATTCTGTAGCTCTCAACGTGTGGTCCCCAGCATCACCTGGGAGCTTGTTAGAAATGCACATCCTGGGACTTTCCTGATGGTCCAGTGGGTAAGACTCTGTACTCCCAGTGCAGGGGACCCGGGCTAGACCTCTGGTCGGGGAACTAGAGCCCATGTGCATGCCGCAACTGAAGAGTTTGAATGCCGCAACTAAGAGTCCACATGCTGCAACTAAGAAGCCCGCATACCGCACCTAAAAGATCGTGCTTGCCCCAACAAAGATCCTGCGTGCCGCAACTAAGACCTGGCGCAGCCGAAATAAAATAAATAAATAAATGTTAATTTTTTAAAAATGCACATCCTTGGGCCCCACCCAAGCCTGCTGGATCAGGAGCTCTGGGGGTGGAGCCTAGTGAGTTGTGTTTTAACAGGTCCTCTGGGAGAGTCTGGCACATACACAAGTGTGAGACCCACTGCTCCCTCTCCTTTGCTCACTTTGATGACACAGGTTGCCATGTTGTGAGCTGCCACGTTGGAGGGCCCCACATGGAAAGGAACTGAATGCTGCCAACGTGTACTGAGGGAGCTTGGAAGCTGGATCCTTGCCCAGTCATGCCTGCAGGTGAGACCATAGCCCCACCGACACTTAGATTGCAGGGAGAAACTCTTAAGGGTTCTCACTGGAGGAAGTCACACCCAGATTCCTGCCCAACAAAAACTATGGGATAATTAATGTTTGTTGTTTTAAGTGCTACGTTCTGTGGAAATTCATTATGCAGCAGATAGATAACTAATATGGTGGATATTGGCAGGAAGGGGAGAGATGGGCCGTGGGAGGGAATAGAAGGATATACTGGAGTAATCTAAAGTCTACTTTAATGTATATGGATAACAGATTCATTTTGCTGTACACCTGCAACTAACACAACATCGTAAATCAATTCTACCCCAGTAAAAATTTTAAAATAAAAAAATAAAATAGGAGAACCACCACCACAACAAAATAAAGTCTACAATAAAAGGGGTTTAAGAAACATAAACTGATTTCAATGTGCAGACCTTGTTTGGATCCTGACTGAACATATTAACTGTTTTGTTTTAAGTTGATATTTAGGGGATGTGACCACCAAGGGGATCCTGGATGATATTAAGCTGTTATTGTTCACTTTTATTTGGTGTGATAGTGGTTCTGTGGTTATGTTTTGAAAAAGAGGCTTTGTCTTTTGGAGAAACATATTGGACTAGTTACAGATGAAGTGATACTCTGTTGGGGAATTGCTTTAAAATAGTCAGGGTGGGGAGGGGGTAAATGTGAAAGAAAATGATGAGTTGATGGTTGGGGAGGGGAGGGGACAGTGCTTAGAGGCTCTCTTTACTATTCTCTGTGTTTTTGTATATGTTTGAAATTTTCCATGGTAAAAAGTTTGAAAAATGGGAATTCCCTGGCTGTCCAGTGGTTAGGACGCTGTGCTTCCACTGCAGGGGGTGTGGGTTCGATCCCTGTTTGGGGAACTAAGATCTTGCATGTCCTGTGGTGTGGCCGAAAAAAAAAAGTTTGAAAAATGGAGTGAGCCCAATGTGCCCATTGTATAGATGGACAAAGCAAATCCCAGGCAGGAGGATTGGAGGGACTCGGGGGGCACCTTAGGTTGTTGACACTGGGGGGCTGTCCCTGGGCCCAGCCCTGTGTTTTGTTCATCCTGGGGAGGGGGCTTGTGCAGGAGACTCTGGGACCTGCTTCCCTGCCTGAGCCTGGGGTGTGGAGAGGAATCTCCCCCATCATCCGAGACTCAGCTTTCCAGCAGTTCGTGGCTGACACACTCATCCGTCTGAGGGCACCTGGTGGCTGACTATTATGTGCATACCTGCGAGAGGCAGCTTTTATTTTATTTATTTATTTATTTATTTTTGGCTGTGCTGGGTCTTTGTTGCTGCGCGCAGGCTTTCTCTAGTTGCGGTGAGCGGGGACTACTCTTCGTTGCAGTGCACGGGCTTCTCATTGCAGTGGCTTCTCTTGTGGAGCACAGGCTCTAGGCGCATGGGCTTCAGTACTTGTGGCACACAGGCTCAGTAGTTGTGGCTCGTGGGCTCTAGAGCACAGGCTCAGTAGTTGTGGCACACGGGCTTAGTTACTCTGCGACATGTGGGATCTTCCCAGACCAGGGATCGAACCCCGTGTCCCCTGCATTGGCAGGCGGATTCTTAACCACTGCACCACCAGGGAAGTCCAAGAGGCACTTTTAATTGTATGAGGGCAACTCTTATTTTGTCTTAATATATTAAGTCATCACAAAGGGAGTGTTTCATCGTATTTTATTTTAGATCTCTCGTTCTCTCTCTCTTTTTTTTTTTTTTGCGGTACGCAGGACTCTCACTGTTGTGGCCTCTCCCTTTGCGGAGCACAGGCTCCGGACGCGCAGGCTCAGCGACCGTGGCTCACGGGCCCAGCCGCTTCGCGGCATGTGGGGTCTTCCCAGACCAGGGCGCGAACCTGTGTCCCCTGCATCGTCAGGCGGACTCTCAACCACTGCGCCACCAGGGAAGCCCACTCTCTCTTTTTTTAAGAAGATACTTGCTCATGGTAAACTCAAAGGGAATACAGTGCAAAGCCAGTCACCCTTCCTCCCATCTTCCAGTCACTTCCCAAAGACAGCTATTTTAATTGATCTATTCAACAGATACTTATTGAGCACATACTGTGTGCCAGGCACTGTGCCAGGCTATGGTATCAGAAAGTATGATGTCAGCCACCAGTGAGAGCTGCCCATGAAATTTAAAATTTTCCAAGAGCCACATTTAAAAAGTCAAAAGAAACAGGTGAAATTAATTTTCTTGAAATAATAATATATTTCTTTAACCCAGTATATCCAAACCTAGTATATGGAATCAATACAAAAATTATTAATGAAATTTTAATGATCTTTTCATGGTGTATTAGTTAGCTCAGGCTGCAATAACAAAATACCACAGGTGGGGTGGCTTAAATAACAGAAATTTATTTTCTCACAGTTCTGGAGGCTGGTAGTCCAAGATCAAGGTGCTGGCAGGGTTGGTTTCTTCTGAGGAAGGCCTGTCTCCTTGGTTTGCAGACAGCTGCCTTCTTGCTGTGTCCTCACATGGTCTTTTCTCTGTGTGTGTGGTCCCTGGTTTCTCTCAGTGTCCTAATCTCCTCTTCTTGTAAAGACACCAGTCAGGTTAGATTAGGGCCCACCCTAATAGCCTCATTTTACCATAATTACCTCTTTAAATGCCCTGTCTCCAAACACAGTCGTATTCTGAGGAAATGGGGCTTAGTTCTTCAACGTATAAATTTGGAAGGGGGGACACAATTCAGTCCATGACACACTGAGTCTTCAAAACCCAATGTGGATTTGATTCACATATCGCATCTCAGTTCCGACCAGCCCAGTGTCAAGGGCTCAAGCAACACATGTGGCTGGTGATTGACCCGTTGGACAGCAAAGTTCTGGGTGTGGGAGTCACAACAGCAAACACAACAGGCGGACATCCCTGCCCTCATGGGGCTTCCATTCTACTGGAGGGGATGGACAGTAAATACAGAAGTATCATGCATCACGTACCATACACGTTTGGAGAAAACCAGAGGAAAAGGGGAGGAGGTGGGGGTCCAGGTGTGCATGCTCCATCTTCTCTTCTCTTCCAGAGCTATCCTGTTTGAACGCAGGAGATGGATGGATGGATGGATGAATGGATGGATGGATAAAGATATATCCCTATTTTAAAAGCACAGATGGTAATATTCTATACATGGTATTCTATTCTTTGCTTTTCTCACTTGAAAATATAGCTTGAAATTCACTCCTTATCATCACACATAGACGTGCCTTATTCTTTTTGATTTACTGATTTTAAAGGATAATTTGAAACATATGAAGACACAGTTCTGCTGAGCCAGAATGACAAGCTGGTGTTTGTTGAGCGCTGACTGTCCTTAGCGCCAGTCACCTCATCTGACCCTCCCCACAACCTCGTAAGGTGGGTGCTGTTTCCAGAAAAGAATTTCAGTTCATGGGCAGCTTTTATAAACAGGTGGATAATAACAACTACTGACTTCAGAGAAATTTTAAGTCCCAGATTACAGTACTAACAAATGATAGGGTCTGAGAGATCTTCCTGTTGAAGTTAACAGAATAATAAAATTCTAATGTGTATTGTTATTGTTACATTAATATGCATTATCATTATAATATATAGGAATATCTTAACATAATATATTAACCTATTATATTAATATATAATGAAAATAGATATGCAATTTATTGAAAATAGTTAATATATCTATAACAAAATCTACACAGTAATATTTAGAGGAAAAGAAATAATTGAGAGAAAATACTGGGAAAACAACAAAGCCAGGAAGAGCTGAGAGGTTGCTCACGCACAAATTGAGCCTGGAGCCCGCAGGCTCAGGGCTGGCCCTGGGGCTGTGCTTGGGGATGAGGTTGTGGATGGGGCCCTGGGGTCCAGGGGTGCAGGCAGGACTCTGCCCCCTTGGATCTCACTCCAGTCAAGGAGAAGCTTCCAGAAGGAAAAGTGGTACCAGGAAGTAAGATGGAACCTGCCTGCCAGCCTCCCCATGTGAGGTGAGAGGTGGGCAAAGGCCACAACCCACCCTCTGAGCCCCAGAACCCTCTGCACCCGGCAAGGTGCTCCCTCCTGTTTATGGGGGTCCTGCACCAGCAGCTCTGTCAGGGCATCCTCAGGGCCTCTGCAAAGACTGGGATTCCAGGCAGTGTGCCTGCCTGACAGAGAACCCCTGTAACTCTGGAACGGGCTGATGCGGTGTGCAGCCATAGGACCTGCCTCGGAACAGAGCCAGCAATCCCCTCAGACAGGGAACTGATACTATTTTGATAGTCCTGAGCCTGATGGGCGCTGTGCTGGAACCAGACTGCCCCACGTGGAACAGACTCTGCAAGGAACACGTTCTGGGCTCTGAGTCACACAGCCTGTGGGTTCAAGCCCGGCTCTGACTCATCTCAGCTCCAAGACCCCAGTCTCCGAGCCTCGGTTTCTCTATCTGTAGCATGGACATGGTACACAGGCAGCTGAGCGCTTGGTGAGAACTGGCTGAGAGCGAGGGTTGTGCAAGAAAATGAGAATCATTTCTGAACAGAGCTGGTGCCTCCTGGGGCTCCCTGGTTCCCAATGCATGGAGGAAAATCCTCCCACACTGCCCTCGACCCCTGCCAAACCCGGCTCCTGCCAAACCTTGCCCCTACCAAACCCTGTCCCTGCTGCTCTGGCCCCAGAGGGAGGGAGTTGGAGCTGGTGAGCGTGATTCTGGCAGGTTCTGACCTGTCCTGGGGGGAGACCACAGGGGAGTGAGGCAGGAAGGTAGCTCAGGGTCCTGAGCATCTCCATCAGCCCTTGTATCCTCCACCCCTTCCTCCCTCCCTGCACTGCAGCCATGCTCAGCCACTACAGTTCCCTGATGCCTCCTGTCTCCTCCTGTCTCAGGACCTTTGCACAGGCTGTTCCCACGACTGGGGTTCCCTTCCCCCTCTTTTCTCAGATTTCCACTCGCTGTTCAAGTCTTGAGAAGCCCTCCCTGAGGTCCTGCTCTGTGGCCGCTGCCCAGCCCGGGTCTCACTGTAGTGT